TCCTATGGGATGGACAACTTTCTTTTTGGAAGTGGGGGCACCGGTGTGTTGATAGTTGTTTAATATACCCATCTATCCTGCACAGAGCTCAAAAGAACTGCACAGGTCATCCAAAACCTTCCATATGGGGCCCCTGTCCTTTTCTGAGCCTAAGTTTCCCTTTGTGTAGAGATACAAAACCTTTTTTGTGAGTCAGCTGTCAAGTAGAACATAAATAGCATTTACCAAAAGGCTGTCAGAACTACACACTTTCACCTGCATAATCTCTCTGACTCTATGAGGTAATTTCTCTTACATTCAGATTTCCTATTTCACAGAGATGGTAGTAATGCACCTATGCAAACAACAAACATTTTTCAAACCCTTTTTGCCCCAGGGCTTTATTTAATCCAACAACTCTGAGGTAGGTACCATCATTGCTAGGATCAGTAAGTAAAGCAAAGAAACCTGCAAAGGGGATTCCACCAAGGCAATCTGACTCCAACACTCCAACCCAGAGCTGTTCAACAAAAATATACTATAAACTCGATGTGTAATTTAAATTTTGCTGGTAGCCACACTTGAAAAGTAAAGACACAGGTGAAATTACATTTAATAATAGTTTATTTGACCTATGTGCAAAAAATATTATACTCCAACATGTGTATCAACATAAAATTATTCAGTCTTTTACATAATTCTTTTCCTACAAAGACTCGGTAGGGTCTCACATTACTGAACATCTCAATTCAGACTTACATTTCAAAGGCTTAGTAAACACCCGTGGCTAACGGTCACCACACGGGGCAACGTATTCACAGTCTATTTACTAATCCTAAAGTTAAAAGCCAAAATCCACAGAGCCATCTGCTCATTAGCTGCAGAACACGTGCAAAAAAAAAAAGGTGGTATAAGCTATTGGGCATTTACTTTGTGCCAGACACCAATGTGTTAAAGAGCGTACCCACGTTATTTTGTCGTCTTGAAATAAGGTGGGTGCTACTACCCTTTGCATTTGACCAGGTGAGAGAACAATCGTAAACTGGCTCCCCTCCAGGCGGGGCTCCACCCTCATCATTTATCCAAGGGCTGTCAGAGCCAGAGGTGCGACCTTAGCCATTCGGCAGAGGTCCCGCGACTTGAAGTCTACCTCGTGACCTTTGGGCTCCTGCATCAACTGCTCCTCTCCTCATCTTCCTCCTCCTCCTCGTCCTCGGACGCCGCCGACTCCGACGCTAACTTTGACTCTGGCTCCTGCTCCTCGAACCCGCGCTCGGTGGCGCCACCATCAAGATTGTGCAGCTGCGCGTCGACATCTGCAAGATCCACCACTGCAGGAGCCGCAGCCTCCTCACGGGACCCGCCGACGCTAGGGGGAGCTGCTTCCGGGGGCCGGGGTTCGGCTTCCGGGAGCTCGCGCTCACTTCTGATCATAGAGAAGCCAGCGGAGACGCCCACTTCCGGCCGTTCGGAGTGCTTCGCGGTTACAGGTAAGCAGCACGCGCCCTCGGTCCGCCCGGAGTCCGCCCCCCGCCGGGGTCGCTCGGGCTCTGCCCCTTAGCGGGAAACGTCTCCCTCCTCGCCCCGCCCCCGCGCAGACGCAGTGCTGAGCCCATAGTTGCAACACAAAGAGTGACGCCGGGAGCCCGAGTCATGGCAGCGACTGAGCCAAGCCTGGCGGCCACCGACGACTCCGCGACAGTGCCGTCGGAGCGGCAGGAGGGAGCTGGCCCGAGCTCATACCCCGAGCCTAATAAGGCGATCTCCTCGAATCCTGAGGCCCCTTCGCCTGCCCCCGAGTCCTCCCCCAGCGCCGCGGCCCCGGAAGCGCATCGTTCGCCCCCCGCGGCGCCTTCCGCGGCCCTGGAGCTACCTCTTGCGCCCGCACCCCTGGGCTCCACGCCTCAAGCCGGAGCCGGCCAGCGCTCCCCCGCAGGCGCGGGCGGCTCCCGGCCCGGCCCCGAGACGTTCCGCCAGCGTTTCCGGCAGTTTCGCTACCAGGATGCGGCGGGCCCCCGGGAGGCGTTCCGGCAGTTGCGGGAGCTTTCCCGCCAGTGGCTGCGGCCGACATCCGCACGAAGGAGCAGATGGTGGAGATGCTGTGCAGGAGCAGCTACTGGCCATCCTGCCGAGGCGGCGCGGGTCCGGAGGGTCCGACGCCGCGCGGACGTGCGCATCACCGGCTGAGCTGCCGAGCCCGGCGCTCTCCGGACTGGGGCCATGGTGGATCCGGGAGCCGGAGCCTGGCTCCCCACCCGGTATTAATGAAAAACGAGTTTTGACAGTTCCTGTGGTCTGCTGTGTCTTTTTCGTTCGTCCTTTATTGGGTTTATTTACCAAGCTTACTTCCCACCTTTTCTAGTTGATGGCCAGAGTAAATTGGGAGCGCAAGAGAATGACGCCTTTACTTGCTGTTTTTGGCTATTATGAGATCCTTAAATGTTGGTTACACCTGGGCTGCCCCTCCACACCTGCGAAGTTTTTCTGAACCTGGACTCACAAGGACACACCTGGGTTTTCTCTAAATGAAGGGCTATGTCACGAAGAGTCCAGCAGTCTTGAGTTCCATGCCACCCTACCTCTTACTAGCTAGTATCTCAGCTTGTTTTCCTACCTGCGAAGGTAAGATGATAGTGATTTGTGGTTGTGGGATTCCTGCAGGCGAAATAGGTGGCTGTATTGAATGCTCACTTAACTGGCTACCTCTATACAAATACAGCTTTTTGTATTTGTAACAACTTGCTCCACCTGCCCTTTGGGCACAGGCTTCCCAAAAGCCCCACATTATTGGGCTATTTTAATATGAAATGTTTTACTGTTTGCCACCTCACAAACTATGTCTTGTTTGTGAGCTCTTGCTTATGCCTCTAGACTTGCTCACCTCCTTCCTTGGGAAATTTTGGACCTGTGGTAGGAATTAAAAAGCAAAACTGATGTTTTTACTGAGGAAAAACCTAAATAAACCTTTCTTTCTCTCCAACACTTGTCTCCCGGACATTGGTTTCTCTGTGGAATGAGCTTGGAGGTAACAGTGTGAACCAATGGGTTATTTACAATAGTGAAGCTATTTTAATGTCTCCAGTGGTGTTTCTTCCTCCTTCCCCCTTTAAAACCAGCGTAATTACTTAGGGAAGAATTTGGCAAGTAATGAAGATGATATACTATGAAATCTCAAAGCCCTGCTCTTCCTTGAGGCTTCTGCACATCCAGAGAAGACTAGGTGGGGTCCATAAACAGTTCAGGTTGGTCTCAGAACATCCCAGTGAGGCTAGGTGTCATCTCTTAAAATAAGGAAAGCCATGCTGGGGGTGTGTTTTAAGTGGTAGAGTACTTGCCTAGCATGTGCAAGCCCCTGGGTCCCATCCCCCTTACTGTCAGAAAGTCTTAATTTCTTGTTCTGCTTTATTCTGGGTGAGAAAAGACACTGGAATTTTAAGGAATGCCAGGCCTATCTTCTTTGCATTGCTTTCAGCAATAAACCTAAAACTTCTACCATAATGCATGAGCCAGACTGAGCTCATGGCCATTTTGCTTTTGAATATTAAAAACAATTACAAAGTATTTTCTAGGTAGAATTTGCATCTGCCTCCCTCCAAAAGATGTTTTTTTTAAAAAATAAAAGGTTTCCTTTAAGAGGTAATGGTTGCAAAAGCATAATATAAAAAATAGGGTAAATAACTTTTACCCTATTTTACATAGTGGCTTGTAATCCTAGCATTTGGAAGGCTGAGGCAGGAGGATTGTAAACTGGAAGCCAGCCTTGGGTTACATTTTGAGTTCAAGGCCTGTCTTACATTGTGATACCCTATCTCAAAAAACAAAGAGGCAGAGATCCTATAGTTCCGAAGACCTATCTCAAAAATACCCAACATGAAAACAGGACTGGCTGAGTGGCTCAAGTGGCAGACCCCTATCTAGCAAGTATGAGGCCCTGAGTTCAAACTCCAGCACTACCAAAGGAAAAATAACACCTTGTGTTTTAGTAATGTATGACTGAAACATAGCAACAAGAACCTGTTTTATTTTTGCCAAATATAGATACAGAAGTTTGTATGTTTTGTAAATATTGCTTCAAGGCAACATTTCTATATATAGTGCCTTCTGTTCTATATAGCCTGTGTTCTAATAGCGCGTAAACAGATTTGTATCCACAGTGCAATGTTGGCTCATCAAGGATCCACCTTGAATACACTCATCACTTAAAGAAGCAAAATGATTAGTCAAACCAGAACTGTTTTGTCAAGACAATTTTTATAGGTGGATAGTTTTTCTCGAAAGACAAAACTTAGGTAGTGCACATATTTCTAAATGATATCAGCATTGTTTGCAAATAACAGTTTCCAGTGCTCCAACTTGGGGTTAACTCACCTTGACCCAGGAACTGGGACTGGAGCCCCTCAACATGGCTTTAAATTAGGGAAGCACAGAGGTTATCAGAATGTGAGGAGTCTTCTGTGCTTCCCTAAGAACAAAAGTCACAATGAGTAAGACCGGATTATTTCCTTCGCAAAACCTTAAGGATAAAAATCCAGTAATGGCCACTTGGCAAAATTAGGATCAGTTTCTGTTTCTATCTTTCAACAAGACATGAAACTGACTACCTTAAACATTTCCATTTCCCCAAATGTGATATTAAATGTAGTTTCAGAAAAGAAAAATCAATAATCTTAATACAACAATAATACCTCACAGTTGGCTATAGAAAATCATCCTTTTTTCTCTTTTCAGATAAGCATCATGAAATTCTTATAATGCAGCTGTCTAATAAATTAACCAGAACATAAATGCCATGCAGATTCCTTACAGGTTTCTTCCCACATCAGAAACATCAATATTAACAGTGGGAATCAGCCTCTGAAGAGGAATTGTGTTGGCTTCATTACAGATGTTACAGCTGCATGTACTTGCTCTGATGGAGAAGCTATGCCAAGTCAATTTATACTTTTGTAAATCATTGTATCAAATTAACAAGTCACTAGACAAAGCATTCCTGAAATGGATCTTAGTACAGAGGTCTGAATTCATGACCACAATGACCTGTGCCTTAAGCCTAACCATCCCTAAGGTCACTGAAGATACCGTCATTGCTATTGAGATACTGGCTACTTCACTTTTACATAGTAAATATTTGCAGCATATAACATTACAGATTCATAAACCCATAATTAACTTGTGTTAATGGATAACTGTGCTTTGACGTTTTTGCCTTTAGTGATAATGAAACTAGTAAAATGGGCCACCCTTCAAAGCATGGAACATTTTCTTTAACTTTGTCTAGTTTAAAAAAAAAAAAACAATATAGCAATTACACGTGGAACTGTAACCTAAAAAGTAACACAAATATTGTCTCAGAAGGTACAAATAGGTTGTACCTGGACCTTAAGCAGCATAATCACCTTGATCTCACAAAGTAATACAAACAGGAAGTTTAAATTGTTAAAAGTATATTAGCAATTCTGAAAATGTCAACTACTAAACGTAACCTTCAGGGAAGGAGGAAAGCGGCACTGAAGTTTGTTGAAAACAATATAAAATAATTCCCTAAACCACATTCTTTGTAACATTTTTATAGTGAAAGAGTTTGAAATTTTGGAAAACATTTTTTGAGGGCTTTAAATAGAACTGGGAAGCTGTCAATATTAAGAATTGGTAGAAAATGCTGTCCTTTGGGTTCCAGACCCTGCCTGCTTCAGTTTGGAATTCCTTCTAGATTCTTATTACAGCAAGATTCTAGCTCCTCCACCAGCTGAATGGGCTCTGCAACAAAAGCTACACCCAGCCAATTCTGAGGTGAAAAGCATACAAAACTTGTCCACGGTACCATGAATTCATGCAAGAGATATGCTGTGAAAAGTGATGAGTCCTAAGAAGAAGGCAGGGCAGTTGAGGCCTCTGCTCCTTCCCCATGTCCACAGCTCTGTGGAGCTGTCCCAACATTCCTCTGAAGCTGGAAAATGAAAATGATGCCTGCTGCCTAAACACCAGGCCAGGCAGAAACCAGAAGGGTTGGCATGTGCTCCAACTTGACTGGAAAGTTAATTAAATAAAATGGAAATTGAATTTACAACTGTTTCCAACTAAACTTTTTTGGCTCTCATTCCATTTACCATCAGTGGCACGATTTCAAGTGAAGTTTGTGCAAAGATCCTCTTCATTCAATGATGTGCACAGAAGAAGGGAATCCCGAGACTCCATTTGTTGCCTTCTTGGTCAGCTTCCAGAGATCAGTGTGCCCTGTTCTCAGCAGCCAAAATGGCCTCTTTGTTCAATATCCACCACACTCCTGGCCAGATCCCTGAAGTCGGTATCACGTGCATTCGGCATGCTAGGTTTATTTATTTAAATATGCAAAGCTCCTCCTGCAGGTGCCCCAGGATTGTGCCCCCGTTAGTCTTAGGTGCCCAATTTCATGTTGAGCAGCAGAGGGCAATCTGCTGCACCTTGCCCAGGTCCGTCAGCAGCTGCTTGATGCAATGCTTGAGCTGTGGCAACCTGGCCAGTGGCTCCGGGGGCTCCAGTTCCCCAGTGTAGTCCAGCCAGCTCTCCAACACTGTCAGCAGAAGAGAAAGATAAGACCTAGTGAGGACCCAACACTCATTTTATAAGCACCTCAGCAAATGTTTCAGCCCATCTAGTCTGACCACACATGGGGGAGGGAAGGAAGGAAGGGCCATTTCAGCCCATTGCCTCAACACCTGCTGCATGAAGCGTTACTCCTGTACAAAGGTCAAATGCTGCTATAGTTTGAATATGCAATGTTCCCCACAGGCTTATATGTTGAACATCTGAGCCCTAGCTGGTGGAAATGATGGGAGGTGAGTCCTAGCTGGAAGTAGAGATAGTAGAGATCACTGGGGGCATATATTGCCCTAGGTTACTTGGTCTAGGGTTCCTTCCTTCCTTCCTTCCTCTCTCTCTCTCTCTCTCTCTCTCTCTCTCTCTCTCCCTCCCTCACTCCCTCTCCTTCTCTTCCTCCCTCCCTCTCTCTACTTGCTGTCTGCCAGAGATGAACAGCCTCTGCCATACACTTCTCCAGCACCATGTTCTGCCCAAGTTCATGGGGCCAAAGGATCATGGACTAAGCCCTCTGAAACCATGAGCCAAAATAAATCCTTCCTCCCTTAAGTTATTTCTGTCAGGTATTTGGTCACAAGGACCATAAAGTTAATACAAAAAGACCTATGTCCATGCTGCCCCAATACAGAAGCAACAGCCATATCATATGAAGCTGTTGACCACTTAAAATGTAGAAATGAATTTTTAATTTTATTCAATTTTAATTAATAGCCACACACTGCTAATTGCTATTGCATTACATAGTGCAGAGTCTAGAAGGCTTTGAAGAACCTGCCTTTCTCAGTGTTGCACTGCCCACTATTTCTAAAGCTTTCCCATGCTGTAAATCAAAGAGCCTGGAGTTTTTAGCCTCAAGTCAAGAAAAATGAAAATTACAGGGACTTGAAAAGGTCCATTTCTATCACTCTGGATTCTGATTTGCTTCATATTAACTCCTGATAGATACGTAATTATCAGTGGCACTGAATATTATTTTTCTCCTCTCAAGTATTTGTTATATCTAGATATTAATACACTTGATTATACTTGGCTCAATATGTAGAAAACTGTTGCTTGTGAGTGCAGGGATTTCTTTACAGAAGATGTTTATTCTTCTCCAAACTACCCTCCCCTGAAGTTCTGTCATTTGCAGAAAGACCATCTGGGAACCCTGTACCTTTGACAAATGTCAGTCCCTCTAGGTAGACCCTAAGCTTACCTCAGCTTACCTGTATCCTTTCTTCTAGTCCATGTACCTCTGGACCCTGGTATGTAGAAAACTAATAATGCATGTTCCTCAAGCAGCCTGCCACCTACTACATATCCCTTTTCTCCTCAGACAAACTCTTCCTTCCTCTCCACCCTTTTAAGTCCTTTGTTCTCCTACAAGTTATTCCTTAGGGATGCCTTCCCCAAACTCTATACCCTGAATCTGGTCCCAGTGTTATGGGTGCAATGGCATTGCATGCTATCTATCACATGCTGTCTTAGAGCACTTATGATGGTTTGTAATTATACTTGATGGAATGATGTCTTTTTTTGCCTTTTTTTTTTTTTCCTGGCAGTGCTGGAGGTTGAACCTTGAGTCCATTTATTTATTTATTTATTTATTTATTTATTTTGAGACAAACTAACTTTGCACAGCCTGGCCTCACAATCTTCCTGTCTCCACCATACCCAGCTTAATGGGATGATTTCATTAATACCCTGTCATCTACAGAACTAAAGATCTGAAATGAACTGAAGATCTGACTCCTAAAAAGAGACTCTGATGAGGGCAAGCAGAGTGGCTCAAGTGGTGAAGCACCTGCCTAGCAAGCTCGAGACCCTGAGTTTAAACTCCAGTATGGCCAATAAAAAAAGGAGGGGAATCCTAGCTACTCAGGAAGCAGAGATCAGGAGGATCACGGTTTGAAGTCAGCCCAGGCAAATAGTTCACGAGACCCTATCTCGATAAACCCTTCACAAAATTAGGGCTGGTGGAGTGGCTCAAGGTGAAGGCTCTGAGTTCAAGCCCCAGTACCTCAAAAAAAAAAAAAAAAAAAAAAGGGATTGGGGGGAAGAAATTCTGATGAATCTTAAATACAGTGCAAAAATCTGCTTACTTAAATAAAATCTTTAAGCTTTATCACTGATATTCATGCTTCCTTGGACCTCTTAGGGCCTGGAGTATTACAAAAAAGAATGTGAGCCCCAAATCAGTGGGGCACATGAAAGGTCCTCTGAGAGACCAGAGAGAGCCTGGGCTATTCCCCTGGCTCCCCTGGGTTGTGAACCCAGGGCTAGAAGCTCTGGCTTCTCCCCTGAGGATGGGTTCCTTTGGCAATAACACAATATTTGCCCCATTCCCATGGTGCTAAGTCTCCTCCCAGAGATCCAGACTACTCTGCTATTCTCCCCAAATCTACAATTTCCAGTCTGGCATTCAATCTTCTCAGCATGTTTTTCACAGACAGTGGCATCGGTTACAATTTGTAGGAGGCCAAAGAAACCTTTTAGGAGTAAGAGAAAAAGTAGCCTGCCTTCCAGGTGTCCACAGGCTTGCCTCAGGGCCAGGACATAAGCTCAAGGGCACCAAGGTCAGTCAGTAGGTTTGTCTTTCCCTCTCTCTGTCTTCCAACAGGATAACCCCTTTTCCCACCATTCCAGGCCTTTCATCAGCCACCCTTGAGTCACCCCCTCTCCTGCAGAATACTACTCCCTTCAAGGTTCACTATCAGTCCCAGGAAGGCTTTTTTGTTGTTGTTGAGACAGTCTGGCTATATAGCCCAGGTTGGCCTCAATCTTCCTCCCTCAGCCTCCCAAGTGCTGGAATTACTGGGCTATACCTCCATACTCAGCTGGAATGTTTGTAGTACTCTCCTCCTATGGCATGGCCTCAGCCACACTAGTATCCTAGCCATACCTCATGACCCTCGCTTGTATAATGAGGCATTTTTTCTGAGTATTTCATGTATGCTTTATATCCCCAGTTGTAGCCTTCATAGCCTGACTGTACCCAGAATCCTCAAACAACATCAATTTCTTAACTGGGGTCCATTTTAAAAATAGAAACAAATACTCACTAAATAAGTAAACAATCAAAAGAGAATTCTGTCTTCAAAAACCAAAACTGGCAACTTCCTGGGGTCAACAGAAATTACACTTAGTCATATTCCTCCTCATAAATTCAATCCTCTAGGCCTGCCCATTACCACCACCAACTGAGAGAAATCCCCCGGTTATACAAACAACTCACTCAAATTTTTAACTCTGTACTGGCGAAAGAGGAGAAAGCTTTATTTTAGAATTTCTCAAAGGTTGAAATAAAAAGGTTTTCAGATTACATTCTTAAACATCCTAAAAACTCATGTCAATCATTTTAATTCCACATAGAACTTTGTTAGTAAAGATTTGCTCAGGTTACATATCTCTAGCAAGGAGAGTATACTTGCTCTTTTTCTGTATATACACCTTAGTTTTTTTGTGTTTGGTGCTGGGACTGAACCCAGAGCCTCCCATGTGCTAAGTATATACTCTACCACTGAGAACTCACCTTTGTAGAAGGGACTGAACACAGGAGGCAGGACCCCTGACATCATCAGACTTTATAAGTGCCAATAAATACTAAAAGTAAGGCTTGTCCACCTTGAGGGGAGAATGGAGATGGGGTGAAGCTGAAAAGAAGAGGCAAGATGGATAGACATACTGGGGAGGTTCAGAAAGCAGCTCATGGGGAGGGGAATTTCAAAGTGATGCCATGGGCAGGGGACCAAGGAAGGAGCCCTACCATCCAGCTCCTTCTCAATGGAGTCCATCCGGTGTGTGACTTCATCCTGAAGGGACTCCACATGTGTCAGCAGGTTAAACTGCCACTGGTGCTGGGAACTCAGCAGCCCCTCTCCGCCTCTGTCAAGCAGTCTCCGAGTAGGGGATTCCTCCGGCAGGACCTTTTTGGAGATATAGTCCCTCACCTGGGAATGCAATGACATTTAAGTTACTGAATACAGAGAGCCCCCATCCACATTTCCAAATGTCCAGTGTCTTAAACTCTGAAAAACCAGCCTCCATCCCATGTGGATGTTGGGCGGAAGCCTGCCCACTGCACCAGAGCTGCCTTCTCAGGGCAGCATGAGCCTCTGGCTCAGGGGGCTTAACAGATGTCTCCCCCAGCTTGAAGAGCACCCTAGCCTTAAGTAGGCCTCCCAGTGCTCTGAGAGCTGCCTAGAGCAGGGCTAGTACGGATGTGGGTTAGGGTGTCTAGTCAGATAAATTTGGCAAGTCTTGCTAAACATGAGGTCCTGGTAAGTTACTTTTCCTCTTTGAGCCTCTGATGAGAAATGGAGGTGTTAAAATCTACTTTGAAGGTTCATGAGGATGAAACAGGATAAGGTATATAAAATAGTGCCAGCACACGGTCAGCTCATCTGCAGGGGAAAAGACTTATAATCCTGGTTGGGTATTTCCTAATTTTATATCATGTGCCAGACACCTCTAGGAAACTTGCCTGGTCCACAGGATTGCAAATCTTTACTGGGGTTTGGGGTCACAATCCTTCACTCATTCATTTGAAATGAAACAAATTCCAGCTAACATGGATTTAGTGTTGACTATGTGCAAAGTAATGTTCTGAGAGCTTTTCACACACATTGGATGTTGGGTGGATGCCTGCCCGTTATCCCAGTGGCCCATTCTACAGGTGAGGAAACAGGTCTGATCAGGAGGGGAAAGCAATCTACTCAGAACCACAAAGTGGATGGGCCCAGACTTGGAACTGGGTCTGTCTCAAAAGACTGTCCGTACCACTATGGCCCAACCCTGTTTAGACACTGTCAAGGGCACAGAATGAATGTGGTACAATCCCCATGCTGGATGGCACAGTTTAGGATGCCCCCACTTGGCAATATGCAGCAGTGTATTCAATACTGGTGATGCCAGCCAGTGGGATAAGGTCTGTGCAAGTAAGGGCAAGGGCAGAGGAGAGATGGAACCACACAAAGCCTCACTGACAAAGGAGGAAGAGGACAGGTACAGTGAGACTAGTGAAGAGTTAAAGACGGGATACTGGCAACTAGAGGGTGACACATGACTAGAACACTGAGATGGGCTCTTTGGAAAACTATCAAAAGCAATTATTTTGATGAAATGGACCCTTCTTAAGACAGGACTGAAAAGTTAAGCCAAAATAAAGCTGTTATATAATTTTATTGAAAACATTATACCTAACAAAACACTTGACTCACTGTTCATGCTAATAATTAGCACCTAGATACAATTATAATGTAAATGGTATTAAATGAAGAAAAGACAAATTTTTCTTAGTTTCATTTTTTTCCAGTTACAATCAACCCTTCTCTCCTTGCTGCTTCTCACCTCTTCACCTCTTACCCCTGCTGACTATGCCATTTTGTGGGAGTTCCTGTAACCAATGATCTTTGACTTAAGTGGGCTTTGTATCATCCATTTTAACAGACCAAAAATCATTTATGACAAGCAAATTTAAATAAAGTTCTATTAAGAAATATCTTCCACAGAACATTTAACCCCAGGAAGAAAACTTAGAAGCACTCAACCTCTGAATGAAGACTATGTGCAAGCATACCACATACCTTTGGGGAACTGGGTTTGGGTTCACCATCCCCTCTGCTCCTGTCTTGGTCTAGAGGCCAGCCCAGGCGAGGGGAGAGGGAATCATCACCATTCTCACGGAGGGGATTGACTGCATCATCCAGAGCAGAGCCCCGTGTCTCCACCACCAGCTTCTGTTCCATAGCAGGGTAATAGGCTCGGGGTTTCTGGTAGCAGTGCTCGCTGGTGATATAGGACTCCTCCACAGACTGGGGCAAGGGCAGGGGCTTTTCCACAGCCCCATTCAAAGTTCTATAGCTTGGGGCTTCCTCCTTGCTCCTGGCGTCCATGACATGGATGTGTCTGGAATGAGTTCTCCCTTCCCCTGAGTGCTGTTTCCAAGGCTGGCACCACAGCTGTAGATCGGGGTGTTCCCTGCTTCTGTGAGGAAGATGGGAGGGGAAAACAGGGAAAGGGCTTTGAGTAACTAGGACACTACAAAGCTCTTAATTTATAAACACTCTCCCAAGAGTGAGAACAGGTCACCTAGGCCATCTGGCCACACACCATACCATTTGCTGAGCAAAAAGCAATGTAAATAATCAGTCTCTTAGGAGAACCCCCACTGCAGGCACACTGTAAGTGGGACTGGACTTAGCCACTGAGCAGATCAGTCAATCAGCCCATCCAAACTTCCTCCTCCTGACACTGGGCTAGTCATCTGTTGGATACTTACACTGAGTTTCATAAAAATCAAGTGAGGTAATGTGAATGTAAGCACTTCAATGGTGGTAAAGGGCTCTTCAAATGTGTCTTACTAAAAATAACCAAAACAACACAGTCACAATCACCCTGGCATGCAAGGAGCATATGATTACCAATGAGCAATGATGACTGGGGTGGGAGGGGAGATTTAACTATCATCTACAGATGGCCATTAATAATAAAGTATCTAAAAATTGTTCTAAAATCTTCTATTCTCACCACTCCAAAGAGAATAGTTTGTTATTAAAGAAAAGAACAGAGGTTCTTATCCTGTGTAGGTCCACACCTCTGAGACTCTGCTGCAAGCTGTGCTGACATACATGTGCTCAGAAAACTCTAGTTCTGAATAGAATTGTTCCCTCTTGAATTTCAATCCAACCAAAGAGCATTAATTTATTTGATCATAATCAATTGTAGAAAAGGAAAAAGAACAGAAAATACCATAGCACTATTCTAAGTAAGGGTAGGTATTTTGAGGATTTTTTTTTTTTTTTTTTTTTTTAGCAGCACTGGGGTTTGAACTCAGCACCTTACTAGGCAGGTGCTCTTACCACATGAGCCACTCCACCAGCCCTTTTTAGTGATTTTTTTTTTTTTTTTTGAGATAGGGTCTCATGAACTATTTGCTCAGGGCTGGCTTTGAACTGCAATCCTTCTGATCTTTGCCTTCTGAGTAGCTAGAATTACAGGTGTGAGCCACCAGCACCTGGCTATTTTGTGAAATTTCAACTTCAGTTTTATGTATGTAATATGAAATATATTTCTTTAATGTAGAACATATTTTTTTTAAGCTAAAAAGTCACTACATAATCCCAGCTGTGTACAGAAGAATAGGTAGGAGGATCACAGTCTATGGCCAGCCCTGGGCGAAAATACAAGCCCTATCTGAAAACTAACTAAAGCAAAATAGGACTGGGGGGCATGGCTTAAGTGGTACAGTGCCTGCCTAGTAAGCATAAGGCCCTGAGTTCAAACTCCAATACAAAAAATAAGCCACTATGTAAGCCAGGTGGTGTTGTGCACTCTTATAAACTCAGCACTTGGAAAGCTGAAACAGGAGGACTAAATTCCAGGCAAGCCTGAGGGATACATAGCAGACTCTAGTTCAACAAAACAAAACAGTCAAAAAAGTCACTACATAAACTTCACCTTTCAATTCTTCTTTACTACCCAGAGCTTCCATTACAATTTATGATGATTAAACAAAAGGAAGAAAGGGAAAAAAACAATGTGATGCCAAACCAGCCCCCACTCCAAAGCTGCAAACACTATACTTACTGCAAGATGCTCATCTTGAGCTGCAGGCCGTGTAGAACCTCAATCACTCTCTGCACATCGCCAAGAAGCTGGTGCGTGGCCACAATCTTCTTAGCATTCTGATGGGAGTAGTTCTCTTCTAGAAATGCTAGGCCATGCATATGTCCCCTGCTCAACCACTCCTTGTCATACCAGTACTTGAAGCCGGGCCTCTGACCTAAAGCAACGACATTAACAGAGTTAAACATGATGTGAAGGAAACCCAGGCCATCTCATTATTGCACAATTGTCACATGGACTTCTAGAAGGACAGATTACTGTGTTCATTTTGTTCTCTTACTCATCCAGCGTACATTTACTTGGCACCTAACTCTGCACTGAGCTCTCTACCTGGCACTGGGGATAAGATAGTGAATAGACATGTACACTTTCTGATCTCTTGGAACCAGTCAGACATGGAACATGAGCCTGGATTCTCTCCTTAAATTTAAATCATGTTTTTCCCTCTGCTACTTAAAATCTTTCACAACTTCTGCTCACACAGAAGAAAAGCCAAAGCCCACTCTGCCTACTGAGGCCCACAGGATCCTGCCCTCCTCTCCCCAACCTCACTGTAGCCTTTTTATTGTAAACTTTTATTCGGGTATATTCATTATACAGGGGGAGATTCATGGTGACAATTCTCATTAGGCTTATATTGTACATTGGTTAGATCACTCCCATTGTCTCTCCCCCTCAACCCCCTCCCTGCCCCACTTAAAGCAATTGCAAGAGGTTTCGTTGTTCTATTTCATATAAATATATGAGGTCCATCAACCATATACTGTCACTTTAATCTCTCCATTCACCCTCCCACTAGTATCACCCCCTACACACACACCATACCTATTTTACAGTCCTGTCTTTCATTATTAATATTTAAGTCGATGTTTCAAGGGGTTTCTCAATGTATCCCCATTGTGGGTATACTTTACTTTGGCCCATTCACCCCTTCCATTACTGTCCCTTACCCCTTTACCTCCTACCCTCCCATTTTCAACAGCTTTCAATACACATCCTATATCCTCTACCTTCACAGATGTTATGTTTTACAATTGTACTCATTGATGCTCTATCATTCTCTTTTCCTTTCCCTCTTTCCTGGAGTTCTATAGAGTAGTTTCACTATTACAAACATGTTCTACGTGAGTTTGTATGATCATGCTTGTTTTTTGTGTATATGTTTATCTTTTGGATCTATCTCCCAAATATGAGAGAAAATATGCTTACTGTAGCCTCTTTCACTTTCTGGAAAACAAAACACTTTCCAGGTGTGGCCTCTTTCCTCTAGTGTTCCACTGTCTTGAACACTATTCACCCAATGGTGTTTGCAGGACTGGCTCCTCACCACCTTCTCAGAGAGGCCTTGTGTCACCCCTCCAAATTAGGAGGGCCTTTTCAAGGCCCTAGTCATTCCCTCTCTTATCAGTTTTCCCCCTCACAGCTCCATCTCTAGCTAATACAGTTCTGTTTATTTTAAACTTGTTTTAACAAATGTTTTTGTCCCCAGCCCTGCTATGAGCCAGAAGAATAGGAACCATCTTGTTTATGTTGCAGCCCTAGTGCCGGGCAAAAAGTATCTCGAATGGACTTACCAAATAATGGAAAGAAGCTCCAAGCCCCCTTCCAACCACCCTACCTACCATCTAACTCAAAAGAGAATCTGGCCCCTTTGCTTTTCTGAAACCTCTGCTTCCCATCTGTTACATGACAGACGACCTGGATGGCTTCAGTGGTTCTGCTCATTGCAGAGCTCCTTAGGAAGAACTGAAAACATATGCAGCAGACTCAGTAGCATTTCCTGCTCCAACAGCCCAGGGAACAGCTTCCAACCAGGCTGCTGTTCACCTCTCTGTAACTACAAAACCTTGGAAACCACCCAGGTAAACCCTGTGAAGGTCCTTTGGGTCTTTCTGGCTTTACTAAAGCACGAAGTAGGGATATACACGGATTCTGTTAAAAACATTTTAAGTAACCTTTGAGGAATGAATCTGTTAAGTTAAGCTTTCATGCTAACTGTTAGGTTAAACTTTTGGCCCAACCCACCGCAGAGTCAAACAGTGTACAAATGCAGACCCTGTGACAGTCAGGGTTCAGTTCAAGAAACAGTCTTTTCACAGTCTTGGTGATCAGGATTACATAAGAAGTTCAGAAAATGCACAGGACTTGATGAAGATGGTGAGTGTGATTGGTAAAGAGGGAAAAGTTGTTTGTTTGTTTGTTTTTTCAGTACTGGGTATTGAACTCAAGTCTTTGCACATGCTCGGCAAGTAAGTGCTCTATCACTTAAGCCATTCCCCCAATCCCCCAAAAATCTTTAAAAGATGCCCTTAGAAAGCCCTTGGGATTATGGGGAAACCTCAGGGGGCAGTGCCACAGGCAGTAGTCATAGCACTGTCAATTTTACAAGACAAAGATCAGCTCTCACCAATAGTCTGGCATTAACTAGTAGAGTGATCTTGAGCCTGTTATTTTTCTTTCAGGCCTATGCCCACTGCTCACCTAATTGTCTGACCATATTCTTTCCTTGGGATAAAGAGATAAATGGAAGCAGTTTCTCCATCTAACGACTAATCTAGTACAGGTAGAGACAATGGCCCAACAGAGGTCTTCAGGGTCAGAGGGGACCTGCTTGCCATGGTGGTCACTCCCTACCTATATAACCATCAGAATTCAGAGATATGGCCTAGCAAACCAGTTCTAATGGCAATTGCTTTATGAAGTTAGAAAGTAATTTATATTCTCTGAGTATCAGAGAGGATGTTACCATCCCACTAACAGAAGGATGAGAACCACAGACATAATACTTTCGTTCCAGGAAGGGGCACCCAAAAGCCACAGGTAACCTTTGTAACCGTGAAACTAACTGATCCAGCTGAGGAATCACTTGCAGGAATGGATTCCTACTCTAGATTGTGACGGGTATATCGCAACCAGGTTTTTGTCCTTTCCCTCAAGGGCATATCTCCCCCTTCAAGGTGGTAGTGATACAACACAGGGAAGATACCACCACAAGGGGCAGAGATAGCTTTCAAATACCCCAACAGCTCCTAAAAGCTTTGGACAGAGCCACATATCAATTCCCACAAGCTCTTGAGAAAAAGAAATGGGGCTGGCAGAGTGGCTCAAGTGGTGGAACACTGCTGAGCAAGCGTGAAGCCCTAAATTCAAACCCCAGGACCACCAAAAAATGAGGGGGGGGGAGAGGGAAAAGAGGGGAGGGGATGGGAGGGAAAGTAAGAGGAGCAGTGATGAGGGAGAATGACAGAGGCAATAAATCTAATCAAGGTACATTATAAGCCCATATGTAAATGTCACAATTAAATCCCCCTGCCTAACTAGTGTATGCTAATAAAAATGTAATAAATAAATAAATAAAAATGAAAGGAAAAGATATTACTGGAGATGTGGCTTAGTGGTAAAACACTTGTCAAGCATGTGCAAGGCCCTGGGTTTGATACTCAGCACAACAGGAGGTGGGGGGAGAAGGAGGGAAGAAAAGGTGTTCACTTCTAAAACTGAAACAGCTCTGGGAAGATTAGCAAGGCCCTGAGCAAGGATGACATGCTAATTCATGGAGCATTCAATATTCTTTATAGTGTTTTAGTCAGGCCATGTGAAAAATCTAGACTGCTCTATGACACTGGGCTTATCATTAACAATGTCACATGTATACTTTATTAAGAGGGTAGATCTCATGTTTGTTACTATAATCAAAGTTCTAGTTCAAGGGTAGGGCTTCTACAAGGTGAGCCTCTTCACAAACATTCTCTTACTGCTGAGTTCAGGAGAGCTGACCACCAGATGGACTAGTGACAAAGGTGAGGGGGAGTTGGAGTAGTAGGTGCCAAAAATATGCATTTCAATACCCCACTTAGCAGGTTTCACGGCCAACTGTCTAAGGAAAAGGCTTCGCACTGTTAATATCCTTGGCACAAGAAATCTCTACCTGGAGGGTCTTGGCAAACATAACAGGTGTATTTCTCGGGCACATTTTCTTCCAGTAATCCCATGCAGACCCCATGCTGCCAGCACTGGCACTCTTCACACTGTGAGAATTAAAGAGGCAACAAAATTAAACTCAGAAGGTATCTTCTATCCAAAAGAAGACCCGCTTGCTGGGGATGTGGGTGAAAGGGTAGAAAGAGAGCAGAGGAAAGAGCATTCCCTCCTGGCCTCTACCGAGCTCAGCTGTAGCCACACATCTGAGATGGCACTAATTTAACATGGCCACTGTTAGCCACATGGAGTGCGCCATTTAAATGAACCAGTTAAAAATCAGTTCCTCAGTCCCACCAGCTACATCTTAAATGCCCAGGAGTTACATCAGGCTAGCAGCCACTGTACTGGTCAGCGCAGGTAAAGAATATTTAGATCAACTGAATAGAGCTGGTCTCAGAATAATGACTATTTTCACTCCTATTTCTACAGGCTTTTATTTTTCTGACCACTTTATGGTAATTGAATGAAAATTGTTCAAATTCTTAGCTAACTTGGAGAGTCAAAAAGCTGAGTTTGAATTATGGCTCAGACATTTATTAGCTATGTGACTTTGCACAGGTCACTTCTCCCTAGGATTCAGTTTCCCTACCTGCCCACACCAGGGGCTATCTGTGAGAATTCTATGGGTCATGTACAAAAATTCCCATTAAAGAGCCCAGCACACAGCTTAATGTATTAAATATTTACTACGGGGGCAAGCCAATTCACTTTGACCCCTAAAGTAATCATGTGTTAACCCTTTGCATTTATTCTCTCTAAACCTTACCAGAGGTCACACAGCTGATGAGAGGCAAAGGAGGATCAGAAGATAAGCCTGGCTAATTGCAAAGCTTCTTACAAAGCCTAGGCCACTGCCTTCCCTGGACAGTGGGCAGTGGTGGTAGAGAGGCAGGAGGCAGAGAGGGAAAGGAAGGCATTGACAATGAGGGTTGACACTGGGAGATGTAGAGAGCTGAGGACTAACAGGTAAGAGCCCAGAAGAGGAAATGGGGTGGAAAGGCAGACTACCAGAGAGACACCAGAACATTTCAAGCAATTCCAATCCAGGGCCCTAAAGCTTAACTATCCAACCAACAGATTAACTCTGGAAAGTGGATAGTGAGCTTCCTAACATGACCTTGATGGTGGGTCACAATGCTGGCCCACTAGGGAGAAGAAATCCAAAGCTGAGACTACCCTCAACAACTTGGAGTGAGATAGGTCCCAGTGTGAAGATGGCATCCCTAGACAGATAAAAGGAAGCTAATCACATAAGAATCAATAAAGGCAGAGCTGGGGCTGGAGGTGTGGCTCAGGAAGTAGAGCAACTACTTTGCAAGTGTGAAGGCCTGAGTTCAAACCCAATCCCATTAAAAAAAAGAAAAGAAAAAGGAAAAAAAAAATAGCTGGGCACCAGTGGCTCACTCCTGTAATCCTAGCCTACTCAGGAGGCGGAGATCAAGAGGATCACATTTCGAAGCCAGCCCAGGCAAATAGTTCTGCGAGACCCTATCTGGAAAAACCCTTCACAAAAAAGGGCTTTTGGAGTGGATCAAGATGTGGGCCCTGAGTTCAAGCCCCAGTACTGAGAAAAAAACAAAACAAAACTAATAAGAATAAAAATCTGTCCCACCAATGACTTTGTATCTTGTGTCTTCACGAAAAAGGAATCAAACACAGCTGTTTCAAACTTAACAATGATAGATTTTAAGTAAGTATTTTGCTAAAACACATTATTCACTTTTAAAAAGTTTAAATTTAGAAATGAATTAAGAATAACTTACAGGTAAAATATATATACTAGATAAAAATGCAAGATCTCTATGAAGAAAATCTTAAAATACTATCTGCAGAACACACGAGTCAATGGTACAGGACACTATTTCAGGACAGCAAGTACCAAAATTGCAATTTTCCTTGGGTTACTTGATAAAAATAACGTAGCCCCTTTTAAAACTATAAGTGAGTAACCTTGTAACTGGTAGAATTCTAAGATTAACAGCCAGGAAGTATCTGAAAAAGAAAGTGAAATGAACTGGGCACCAGTGGCTCACGCCTGTAATCCTAGCTACTCAGAAGGCAGAGATCAGGAGGATTGTGGTTCGAAGCTAGCCTAGGTAAATAGTTCATGAGGCCCTATCTCAAAAAACCCATCACAAAAAAGGGCTGGTGAAATGGCTCAAGGCATAGGCCCTGTGTTCAAACTCCAGCACCACAAAAAAAGGTGCAATAAAAAGATACTAACCCTAACAGATATTTTTAAAATATTATAAAGGCATAATAATTAAAATAGAATTGTACAAGTAAATTTATAGACAGATGGATCAATGGAAGAGAAGAGAGAATCCAGAAACATCCAAAACATCACATTCAGAAATGGAATAAATGCACGCAGCATTTCAAACAATGAAGCATGTTGTTAGCACAACTGGGTAGTCATAGCTCTAATTTTATACCAGGAAAACTTCCACCTGGATTAAATATTTATATGGTTTAAAAACAAAAAGGAAACCTTACAATACCAGAAGGAATGAGGAGCTGGCGGAGTGGCTCAAGTGGTAGAGCGCCTGCCTGGCAAGCGTGAGACCCTGAGTTCAAACCCCAGCACTGCCACAGCACAGCATGAACCAGAAGGAATGAGGAGAGGTGGTGTAGTTTTGTGATGCTAGGCACAAAATCCAGGGCCTCACAGGTAGGCTCTGGCAAGCATTCTACCTAGGCTACAACCCCCAACCAAGCCATGAAATTATTTTTTTTACAAATTTTTCAAGAAAAGTTTGTTATATCTGGGAGCATGGTTCAAGTACCAAGAATACTTACCTAACAAGGGCAAGGTCCTTTTATTAAACCACAGAATGGAGAAAAAGAAAAGAGAAAAAAAAGTACTTCCCTGTATTGCCAAAAAAAAAAAAAAAAAAAAAAAGAGGGGCCTGGAGGAACTGCCAGGAACTTCAAACTCCAGTACCACCAAATAAATAAATAAGTAGAAATTTCCTTATATCACTATAAAGATTAGAAACAATCTAAAATATCCACAGCAGAGGAAGGATTTAAGATCATGAAGATCCATTTATCATGTGGCCTTAAAAGATAATAGGAAAGCTTTTATGTTTGAAAATGAAATGGCCAGGCACCAGTGGCTCACACCTGTAATCCTACTACTCAGGAAACAGATCAGGAGGATTGTGGTTCAAACCCAGCCAGGGCAAATAGTTTGTGAGACCCTATCTCAAAAATACTTAACACAAAAAAGGGCTGGTAGAGTGGCTCAAGCAGAGTGCCTGCATAGCAAGTTTGAAACCCTGAGTTCAAAACTCAGTACTGCCAAAGAAAAAAGTCTTTATTATTATTTTTTAAATCATTTTTACATCATTTATTCATATGTGTATACATTGTTTGGGCCACCTCCCCCCCCATACCCAAAACAATCTTTTATGTATATATATAAAGTGGAAAAAGAAAGATGTAAAAAAACACAAATATACTTAATGCTGCAATTGTATACATTAAAATGGTTAACCTTTATGTTATATATATTGTACCAAGATAAGAAAAAAAAAAAAAGGAGAGAATGTATTTGCTATTTATTTGTCACAGAAACATAAGGAACTGATGATAAGGCCTGCCTCCAAGGAATTGGTAGTTGGGGGATAAGATGGAGTTAAATTTTTACACTGTATGGCTTTTATGAACTATGTGAGTACAAGTTTAAAAAATAAACAAAACTAATCAGGTGCAAGTAGCTCACGCCCATAATCCTAGCTACTTGGGAGACAGAATCAGGAGGATCATGGTTCATAACCAGACCCAGGCAAACAGTTCAAAAACACCCAGCACAAAACAGGGCTGGTGGAGTGGCTCAAGTGGTAGATCATCTGCCTGGTAAGAGAAGGCCCTGAAAACAAAACTTTAAAGATGGGCTTGTTAAAGTTGTTAATTTTCATTGGACTTGGGCACTTGATATTTGTTGCTCTGGAGCAAAAGTGAACAAACTATAGCCCATTGGTCAAATCCAGGCAGAATCTTGTTTTTCTAAATAAAACATTAAATGAACACAGCCTATATATAGTTTTATATATTGCCTATAGCTTCTTGGAGCAGTGTTGAATAATGACAAGACCATACAGAACTTTAAGCCTAAAATATTTCTTATGACTAAGAAAAGGTTTGGCAGGGGGGAGGGCAGAAGAGAGGCAGTAGCCCAAACAATGTATACACAAATAAGTAAATATAAAAATGATAAAATAAAAGAAATTATATATATATATGGAAAAAAAAGAAAAAGAAAAAGTCTGGGGTTGGTGGAGCAGTTCAAATGGTAGAGCACCTGCCTAGCAAGCATGAGTTCAAACCCCAGTGCTGTCAAAAATAAAATAAATAAATAAATAAAAGGTTTGCCAAAATGTGCTGTAGAACAATTAAAATAACTTAAATATCATATGTTTTCTGATTTTTTTTTTTTTTTTTTTGAGACAGGGTCTAACCACATACATGGTCCAGGCTGGCTCCTCCTGCTTCAGTCCCATGAGTGCTAGGATTATAGCTGTATACCATCATGCCTGGCTCCTGATATTAAGTTCTATATGGTATACAGATTTCTCAAATATTCATGATTATTAAGTAAGATTTTAACCTTTCAGTGATATACATTATCACTGGTAATGAAGTTAACGTCATACTCATAACAATCAAATAATGAGAATGATCAAAGAAAATTATTTCTCAAAAAAAATTTTTTCCACAGTAATACATGCATGTCTACAAAAAAATTCTAAATATATATAAGGGTTGTTCAAAATATCAACTTAAGTTCAAATTTATTTTAAGAAAAAAAACATTCATGCCTTCCTAACTAGATAATAAATGCATTTATTTTTGCTTGATTTTTAGTAGGACTGGAGCTTGAACTCAAGGCTTCACTCTTACAAAGCAGGTGTTCTACCACCTGGGCCACACCTCCAGTCCATTTTTCTCTGGTTATTTTAGAGATGGGGCCTTGCAAATACGTGCCTGGGCTGGCCTTGAACCACAATCCTACAGATTTCAGCCTTTCAAATTGCTAGGATTACAGGCATGAGCCACCAGTGCCTCATGATGAATGCATTTAAAGTCAGATTGTATTTGTTCAAGTTAGTTCCCTCTAAATTTATGCATTTTGCTAAAGTTACTGGATGAAAAAGGTACACTGTTCATAATGACTGGGACTGTCAGAAACTGTACCTCCATAATACAAAGCCAGCTGGACACTCTGGCTTGTGGACAGCAGAACAAAGACCTCTAGAACAAAAGTCAAGGAGTTTTGAAATGAACAACACCACAATGTGGACCCAGCACTGAGCTGAGCTCCTGGGAAGGTCACATGGAGCCTGGGAAACAAGAGACAGGAAGTTAGCTCCTGACTCTGCCATGTAACTCAGTGGTCAACAGCCCCAAGCCTAGTTTTTTCATATAGCACATGAAGATCTACCCTCAAGCACTCATTATCCTTGCTACTTAAAGAAAAGTTAATGAGGAAGAGTACCTTGGAATCAGAAATGGGCCACATACTGATTAGGCAGAACAGCTTTGCCAGGTAAGACCTTCTTTACTCACTACCTGAGGATTTCTACCCAACAGATGGAGACCAAATCCAATCAGGCTAACAAGGCCTACAACTCAAAATACGCCCAGAGAGACACAGTTGAAACTAAAGGTCTTCAACATCCTTTTAAAAAACAAACTTTAGGACTGGAAATGTGGCTCAAAAGGTAGAGCACCTGCCTTGCTAAGTTAAAGCCCTGAGTTAAACTCCAGTACCACTAAAAATAAATAAATTTAAAAATAACATAAAAAAACCAAACTTTAAAACTTCTATTAAAAAAATTCTAATAGTCTCCATGTCATATAACAATTTCCTAATTGTATCCACAAAGCTTCAGAGGTTCTCCAAAAGTACGTGTTTTTAAAATGGGACTATTTCTTTAAAAAACTACAAATACTCCAAACCAAATGTTAAGGCAATGGATCTCACCAGCACACAGAATTTCAGACTGCTAGGCTAGCTTAGTACCATGCTGTTGGAACAAAGCTTTTCCTCCTATCTCTGATTAATAAAATTGACTACACAGCATGATGGTTATGAAAAGTTGCCCTGGCAATGACCATGTAGATCAAACTTGTCTCACTGATGTCTAACCAACTAGAGAAAAAGAAATGAAGGCAGCATGGTGGTGCATATCTGTGGGGGGAGGATTGAGTTTGAGGTCAGGTAAGGCTACACAGGGGGACCCTGCCACAAAAATAATAAAATAAAAAAGACAAAAATTAGTTAATTTTTAAAAAGAGAGAAAAAAAATTAATGAACTACTGAAATGCTCTAGTCACTCACAGCTGACTGCATATCAGAATGCACACACCATTCACATTTACTATTGTCAGGATTTTTTTTTTTGGTGATAGTGGGGTTTAAACTCAAGACCTAGTGCAAGCACTCTACCACTTGAACCATACCTCCAGCCCCACCATAAAAGTGAAAGTGAGAAATGGGGACATGACTCAAGCAGTAAAGCGATTAGTTAGCAAGCATGAAGCACTGAGTTCAAACCCCTGTACTACCAAAAAAAAACAAAAAAAAAAAAAAAAAAGAAGGTATCCATTTTGAATTACTGCTTTTACCTGACAAACATTTTGGGGTTCTATGAAAGAGTCCATTGAGAAAAGGAGTTCTGATGCCAAAAATGTTTGGAAACCATTGAACTAAGGTATATAAATGGCCATAAATATCAGATTTTGTTGGTGACCATTCATGACCCTTAAATCTAAGAAATTACTACAAAGGCTTTTCTTTTTTATCCTGCCACCCTTTGGATTTTTTGAAACCAGTTTTTGCTATGCAGCCCAGGCTGGCTTTGAACTAATTATCCTCCTGCTATCTTAGCCCCCCAAGTGGTAGAATGCCTTTCAAAAGGAAAAGGTGCTCCCTCAACTTAAAGTGTGTGCATGTGTGCACATGCTGACATACTGATGAGGGAGGGAAAGGGTTGGCCAGCCAGCCTAGTCAATGCTGCTGTGTTCCAAAAACAATTTTTTTGTGCCACTTCTCAATTATAAGTTCTGACAGTACACCTACTATCTGTAGTAGTGATAATGGTAGTAGTCACACAGGCTATCTACACCTGTGATGAAATTGTACAGAGCTTTATGAACCCAAAAACCAACACAACACATGTATGTAGCTGGCAAAATTTGAGTAAGCTCTATAAATTGTGCCAATGTCACAATGGTTGGATAGTGTATTGTTCTGTGGGCTGTTGGTAGGGGAGGGAGGGCTAGGCAATGGTTCCTGGGACTGCCTTGTACATTTCTTTGTATTTCCCTGTGAATCTGTAATTATTTTAAAACAAAAGCTTAAAAACAAAAAAAGTACTTTATAAATAAAAGTGAGAAAACAAGTGGGCTTACTCACTTTATGGTTTTTCTGAAAGTTTAAAGTATTATGATAAACCCTTATGTTTCAAAAAATTAAAGAAAAGAAAATTGTTGAATATGAAAAGACAAATTCAACTGTATATTAAATCAAGATCTAAAAGTGAATTTCAAAATTTGATGCTTTACCAACCTACAACACTATAGGGGCAAGGAAATAATATATTTTTTTTCTAAAATAGTAAAAGTGATAGTAAAGTTTATTAGGAAAGGAATATACTTTCAATAAACTGAAAGTAGGTCATCTCTAGAAAGAGAATGAGAATGGCCAGGAAACAATATTCTAACACAGAAAGCAAGCCAAAGGGGCCAGGCTTTTTCTCATAGCTCCCACAGACTATGCTGACTCTCATTAGGTGATGGGCAGCCACTCCCTTTATTGGGAACAAACACCACTCCTGTCAGACAGTAACAGATACAGGCCACAAGCAGCCTTTCTGTACAAGGTGAACCTGCCCATCTCCCCAACCTCTACCAGCAGAGATTATTAGACAAAGAGTAAGCACTTGGCCTAGGATAAGCCTCTCCCCACTCCCACAAGTAACTGTTCTGAAGGCTAATGTCTTATCTGAACATGACTGGAATTGCTGGTCCAGGAATTTAGAGTTGGGAGATTCCAACCTCAGCCTAACTAGCCTCTTAAATGCTAAAAGGTAAGACAGAGGAGTTAGGAAGAGGTCAAGGGTGACCATTTTTGCATTTTCTAAGAAAATAAGCTAGTTAGCAAAAAGGGGGGAAAAAAAATAGCACCAGGCTCTGGTGGTTCATCCCTGTAATCCTAGCTACTTGGGAGGCCGAGATCTGAAAGATGGAGGTTTGAGACCAGCCCAGGCAAACAGTGTGATCCCATCTCTAAAATAATCAGAGCAAGGTCTGGTAGAGTGGCTCAAGGGGTAGAGTACCTGTCTAGCTATCCTGAGGCCCTGAGTTCAGAACTCAGTGCTGCCAAGAAGAAAAGAGTTCATGAGGCCTCCTCCTCTAAACACGGAGGACAGCTAAGATACTCTGTTAGATGTACATTTCCAGGAAAATCTTTGTCCTAAAAATGAAAAGGATGTAAAATAATCAGAGCAAAATGGACTGGAGGTGTGGTTCACACAGTAGAGTACCTGCTTTATAAGCCTGAAGTCCTAAGTTCAAACCCTAGTCCCACTAAAAGAATAAATAAAATAAAATTAGCTTAAGAGAGAAGCAGGCAACAGGTAGGCCAAGCCTCTGAAGATGGAATTCTAGGCTTCTGAGCCTGACTACACCCTCCTCTGGGATCCAGAATCCAGTTAATTTTCTCAGCAATGTTTGTACTTGTTCATAAAAAAAAAAAAAATGCTAATCAATATAACATGACTGATCTAAAACAACAAAAGAACACCTCAGGTTTCCAGGCCAGAATATCTAGATACCCTCAGAGTTACCAAATAGCATCCACCTCCATCAGAATTGCAAGTCACAGCAAAACAAAGACCAAGGCAAATAGATGGTCTCTTCAAGCAGGTTCCACTTTACAGACACATCTCAAAGAGGAAAAGGAAACAGACAAGTTATAAAAACAGCCTCCATTTCTTTAGGCTATGAGGAAATTTTGCCTCAGAGAGAATATGGGTCCAAAAGAAGGCTAAAGTACCACCCCAAAGTGTGAGAGTTCTTGCTTCTGACTCCTCACTGTGTGACCACAGGCAAGGTCTTTCCCTCTAGACTAGGTGACTCCTTAAGTCCTCTCATCTATCAATGTGCTATGTATGGCAGCCAGGCATTCCCAGGAAGCTGAATGAAAATGCAAAGGTAGTCTGCTACTAGTACTGTGTATATGGGCTTCTGACGCGGCTCGCCATTGTTGCTGGCAACATTTTCTCCAAGGACCAGTTTGTGCTTCTCTACTTTTGTATTCTGGAAGCTCTACCTACCTGAATCATGAAGTCATTTTCCTCCTGGACTTCACAGATACAACGTACCACCTCGAAATCATAGCGGTCATCCCCATCGAGCTCTTCATCTGGGTTGGTGGTCACATCAACATCCTGGCCATACTCATCATCACTCCAGAGAAAGCTCTCAGAAGAGGACTCACTCAAATTATCCTCCTCTGGAAGAAGAGGGAAGAAATCAGTGACTGCTTTCAATTTAGTTATAAAATTTATAAAACTCTGAAAGAGTCCAGAGTGAAACATGACCTTACATGACCCTCTCTTGCAGGAGCTTTCACAGGGCCAGGAAGTGAGGACACTAGTCTGTTCCTTGCCCAGAGTAGGCTGCCAGGCAATCAACTGAACTCCATTTCATTTGATTGAGAGAACATGGATTCCAAGGGCAGAGGAGCTACAACTAACAATTCTAACACATTCCTCAGCCTTCCTCACACAGGCAGGATCTGACTTACAGTTATCTGTGTCCACGTGGAAGATCCTAAGGACAGAGCCAGGGACACTGCATCTTGGTACCTGATAAGTTAGCTAACTTTTGCCACATGCTGATTCTGCCCCAGACACTGTCCTAAGAACTACTGTGTAACAAGTGATTAGGCAGCAGAGAGCCCCTTACCGGATGCTTTCAGTTTCCCTTTGTGGTTTCCAGATTCCGAGCCATGGAGCTGTGGGCTCATATGGATGCCAGGCTTGTGTGAGGACCCACACCTAGTGACAGCAAATGCCTTGGGTGGAGAAGGTTCCTGGGAGGTATCACTTATCTCTTCACTGCAGGGGCATTCTATAAGAACAGGATCAGGAAGGAATGAGCAACACCACATCTCATCGGGGCATTCCAGAATCAACCTCATCCAACAAACAAACTTGCTGTTTAAAGAGCTCAAAGCCATGGGGATAATGCAATCACAAAGAGGTGTGGAAGACAGATTCAGGGATTCATATCTCTAGCTACCTCTGCAAGTCTCAAATCCAAATACTTCTTCCTTACCAACACCCTCTTCCCCTTTTCTAAATATTGTTTTCCTAAGCCAGAAGTAACACTGAGAATAAAAGATGGCATCTCTTTAACTCCCAATGTTGGAACCTAGGTTCTCTTAAACATTTTTTTGAGAGTAGACATACAGTTTTCAAGAAGTCAATTCTTTCTTGGGAGATGTGTGTTGAAGAGATATTATGTATGTAAACAGTTGCTCAGTTGCTTTCATGCCCTGAGAAATTTGGTAACTGAACAAATAGGAAGGCTTCTATAAATGCTAGTTGGGCCTAATTAGACCTGGATGAATATGCTATCCCACCTTACCCCTACATGGCCTGTGCTAGGCTAAGCCAACAGGCCCTGGGAAAGTCTGCTGATCCTTTCTCTCCTAATGGCAGACTCAGAGGCTACCATGGGAAGAAGCCACCCCTTCCCATTCATGGCAAGGAAACCCAAGTGAAACCCTTAGGGGAAAATTACCAGGTTTAGTTTTCTTTTTCTTTTTCTTTTTCTTCTTTGGCTTCACTCTCACAAACTCTTTAAATTTCTTTTCTTTATTCTTTTCCTTGTCTTTTGCAGCTAGGATTAAACACAAGTTTAAGTGTTGGCATTTTAACATTTTGTTTTCAAAGCTGTTTTCTTACATAATTAAGCATATCCAATGGGAAGAGCACAAATAGGCAACAGAGTTCTTGGCCCAGCTCTGCCTGAGGTCACTTTCCTTGCCCCTGTGGGCTTGGGATTGGGCTACAATAGAGACACTCCTCCATCACTCAGCCTGCAGATCCCTGCAGACACTGGCTGCTGCCTGGTTTGTTGCCTATGGCTGCTTTCACAGTTCAAAGACAGAGTTGCATAGTGAGGACAGAGGCCTTAGGTCCTCAAAGCTGAAAATACTAATTATCTGGCCCTTTACAGGATGCCAACCTCTACTTGGATCATTGCACCTCAATCCTAGCTACATGCTGGAACTACATACTGGAATCATCTAAGGAATTTGTATACACACTCTCTCTCTCTCTCTCTCTCTCTCTCTCTCTCTCTCTCTCTCTCAATGGGGCTGGGGGTGTGGCTCAAGTGCTAGAGTACCTGCCTAGCAAATTAGAAGCCCTGAGCTCAAACTCCTGTACAACAACAACAACAACAACAAAACCATAAGATCCAATGCCCAAGTCCAACCCCAAAGATTCTGGGCATCAGAATTTTGTTTCTTTTTTTTTTTTAATTAAGATTCAATTCACATAACATAAAATTTACCATTTTCAAATGAGCAAGTCACACTTTACAAATAACACAACCTCATTCTCTCTGTTCCTATAGCAAAACTCCTTGTTAGTATACTCTGTCCAAACTTCTTCCTTCACAGTTTTTGGTTTTTTTTTTTTTTTTGCAGTAGTAGGGTTTGAACTCAGGGCCTAACACCTTGAGCCACTCACTCTACCAGCCCCTCCACCCCTCCTTTTTTATGATGGCTGTTTTCAAGATAGGGTCTTAGGAACTATTTGTCTGGGGCTGGCTTCAAACTGAGATCCTCCTGATCTCTGCCTCCTGAGCAGCTAGGATTACAGAAGTAAGCCACTGGTGCCTGGCCACAGCTTTTCTTAATTCCATTCTAAAAGGCTTCCCACCTACCATTCTACCGAGATCAGATTTCAAAGTGAATATGGAAAAACCCAGTTGTTCCTGCTCCTCTACCTTACTAGTTACATCTGTAGCACTGCAAAAAATTCATCATGCCTTACTTTTTAGATATCAACAAGAATATAAGCAGACATAGCCTACATTCTCGCCATTTCACCCACAGATATTCAAGTGAAATCACAACATATGTCCACACAGAGACTAACAGAGAAAGTTCATAACTATCTTAGTTGTAATTGCGCCAAACTGAAAACTGACCAAATGTCCCTCAACAGGTGAAGGACAAGTAATTTGTGGCAAACCCATACAACAGAATAATTTTTAGCAATAAAAGAATCAATTTTTTTTTTTGTGAGCTTGCAAAGCACACACTCTACCACTTGAGTCATACTTCCAGCCCATGTTACTCAGGTTATTTTAGAGGTGGGGGGTCTTATGAACTATTTACTATTTGCCCAGGCAGGTCTCAAACTGTAGTCCTCCAGATCTCAGCTTCTCAATTAGCTAGGATTTCAGGCATGTGCCACAGGCACCCAGCAAAAGTTTCAATTATTAATATATGAAGCAATATACATGAACTTCAAGATAATTATGCTGAATCTCAAAATAAGTATGTCAGTGCAATATTAGTGCATATGGCATGATTCCATTTATATAAAATTCTGGAAACTGAAAACTAATTTGTAGTAACAGAAAATAAGAGTTGCCTGGGGACCAAAGGGAAGAAAGAATTAAAAAAGGACATGAGGAGGGCTGGGAGCATGGTTCAAGTGGTACAGTGCCTGCCTAGCAGATGCAAGGTCCTGAGTTCCAACCTAAATACCTTCAAAACAAAGAAGAACATTTGGTAGATAATGGATGTGTTTACTATCTTGACTGTGGTGATAGGTACAAACATGTCAAATCTCATCAAATTATACAATTTAAATATGTACATTTCATTATACAATTCTCAACAAATCTCGAAAGAAAAAACAATTCAGTTACATGTAACAGATTGACAATGGGCAAACACTTGTATTTAGTTCTAAAACATTTCCTTCATTACTCCAGAGTAAAACCCCTGACCAGGTAGCAGTTTCTCCCCCTCCCCTTAGCAACCACCAACCTGCATCTGTCTCCACAGATTTATCTATTCTGCACATTTCATATATGGAATCATACAGCATATGACCTTTTGTGTCTAGCATCTTTCAATAAGCATAGTGTTTTCAAGGGTATTACAATGCTCTCCAAGTGATTCTGATGTGGAATCAAGATGATCATAAAGCAGATATTGGGTATGAACTCAATTTTAACTAAGCACCTGTTGTGTGCAAGGAAACCAAAACATCTCATTTATTCTTTATAATAACCTGAACTTCAGAAAGGGAAAGTCACCCTTTTGACCTCAGATTTAAAATGAGAAAAACAGAATCTCCCGCTGATGGAGTGGCTCAAGTGGTACAGCGCCTGCATAACAAGTGTGAGGCCCTCAGTTCAAACCCCAGTGCTGCCAAAAAAGAAAAAAGAATCTCCTTATGTTGCCCAGACTGGTCTCAAACTCCTGGGTTCACATGGTCCTCTCACCTCAGTCTGCCACATAGCAGGGACTATATGTACACACGACCACACGCAGCATCACACAGATATTTAGAAGCAGATCTGCCCAAATCTCCGGCACCACGTCAGCACTGTAACCCAGGCCCCTATCCCAAATGGGCATACAGGAACTGTCAGAGAGGAATGTGGGCTGCCTGGGATCTACAGGCAGAAGTTGATCTACTGACTATAGCACATACAACTGATGGGCCCTTGGTACCTTTCCTGCTAAAACACTCTGTAAATGAAGAAGTCAAACAAAAAAGAAATCTAGACTGGGGATGTAGGTCAGTGGTAGAGCACTTGCCTAGATGCACAAGGCCCTGGGTCCAATCCCCAATACCACAAAGGAAAAAAAACCCCTAGAAGCCAGATGTGGTATCTGCTTCAGGAGGATGAGGCAGGAGGATCCCCAGTTTGAGACCAGGCTGGGTTACATAGCAAGTTTTAGGCCAGTCCAGTCCCATAGGGAGACCCTGTATCCAAGGTAGGTAAGGGGACTTCTAAAAAAAAAAAAAAGAAAAAAGAACTCTAGCTGGGCACCAGTGACTCATGCCTATAATCCTAGCTACTTAGGAGGCAGAGATCAGGAAGATCAAGGTTTGGTACCAGCCTGGGCAAATAGTTCACAAGACCCTATGTTGGAAAAACCTATCACAAAAAAAGGGCTGGTGGAGGGGCTTAAGGTGCAGGCACTGAGTTCAAACCCCACTACCACAAAAAAAAAAAAAAAAACCTCTAGAAAAGAACTTTAATTCAATTTGTAAAAGCATTCATTTTAAAATCAAGAAACTAAAGCCCAAGGAAATAAGTTGTTTTGGTAACTTGGTCACAGAGTTGATTAGCAAAGCATTGTCAAGTTCCTTGTGAGTTTTATAAAAGCTATCAACAATTTCTACTTTCCACTAATTGTGGGAACAGTCTTCCTCAAACAATAAAAACAAAGCAACTCAGTTTTGCACATTCTCTGGGCTACAACAATATTATTAGCCATGGCTTCAATTCATTCACATTCAACAAATATCCAAGCATCTCTCATGTCCCAGGTACCATTCTAGAGATAAGTAATGATGGGGCTGGTGATTTGGCTCAAGTGATAGAGTGCTTGCCTAAAGATAAGTAATGGGAGGGGGAAAAAAACAAAAAGACAGGTTAGGGTGTAGTACTGTGGCAGACTGTGTGCTTAGCATGTACAGAGACATGGGTTCAATCACCAATATCAAAAAAAAAAAAAAAGACAAAAGCCTGTCTGCCCTCACATTGTAATTGGCAGGGGTAGTACACTAGGAATAGAAGGGAATTTCCTCAACTTGATAAAGAACATATACAAAGAACCTTCGATACTTCATACATAATGGTAAGAAACCAGATGCTGTAAAATAGAGAACAGGGCAAGGATATCCCCTCTCACCACTCCTATTCCACGTTATACTGGAAATCCTAGCTAGTCCAATAGCCGAAAAAGGGAAATAAATTCTCTATAGATCAGAAAGGAAGAAATAACACTGTCCTTGTTTGCTGAGACCATCACTTTGTATGGAGAAAAATTCTGAAGAACTGACATTTTTATGACCTCTCTCCCCATCCCCCAAAACTGCTAGAACTAATAATGACTACAGTAAGGTTTCAAGATGCAAGGTTAATATATGTAAATCAATTTCCTTTGTGGGGGGTGCTCTTACTTTTTTTGCTGTATTGAATGAAGCAGCATGGAGCCTCCAATGACACTGGCTACCATCCTATGATCACGAGATACTCAACCTGAAAATGGCAGTGAAAGGGGAAATGGAAAGACACTGGGTACTTTGCCAATATCCTGGAGTGGTAGCTGTCCTGGACTTCCCCACTGTGTAAGCTAACATATCCACCTTATTGTGGAGTTCATTTGAATTGGTTCCTGTTCCTTATAACCAAAAGCATCTCAACTATTGCAGCCGATTGGAGACTTTAAAGATTAAACTTTAAAGATTCCCCTCCCAAGGCTTCAAGTAGAGAAATAAACAATGAGGATTAAAAGAACCATTCTAGGAATCTGTTTAAGAAGGCCTGTGTTCTCTGAACACAGGGAGAAGAGAGAAAGCCCTCAGAGGTTCAACCTGGCTGAAGTATGAAGTCACCTGTGACTCAACTCAGTTGCCGGAGCTCACAGGCGCCAGAGAAGATAGAAGGAACTACCTAGCAAGAACTGAGCTAACCAAAATGAATTCCCTGAGATGCAGGGGCAGACAAGAGAGAACAACAGGCAGAAACCAGCCAGACCTCTGAGCATTTCATAGGAAGCACTCCTCCTCACCCCAGGGCCCAGGCCAGGGAATGCATCCATGGAATCAAGAAAGAAAACAGAGTCAAAAGGTGAG